TTCTTTTAAATTATTTTTCTAAGTAATACAGTAAAAAAAAATATTCAAACAGTTCAAAAAGTACACAGGAAAACTAAGTCTTGAGAATTTTCTGGGAAGATAGTAATGGTAGCAGTCTAGTGTTTGAATCATCCTGTATCCTCCCATTTAATGACAAGAACAAAACTCAAAACCCTCAGCTAACATCTATAATAAAATCAGGCGATATAAAGAGCCACAGATTCCAAAATGAGAAAACAAGACCCTCGTGGTGTCAGGAAGAATATGAAAGGAAGTACAGAAGCCAAAGGCAATTTTGAAGGCCCTGGGAATCCGAGAACCCTAAAACTACCATCAGGTGTTCTGAGAATTGACAATTGAGCAGGCTGTTCTGAGAACAGCAGCAGAAATCAAGACAGACTCTGCGAGCTCCAATATGCAGTTGAGTATGATGAGACTACAGAAAGGTCTGATAATGCTGAAGTGGTCTGGGGGCCCTGAAATGACCAAAGCACCCTCCTCCCAAAAAAGTCCCACCTTCCCTGGTGGTCCAGTGGTAAAGAATCCACCTTCCAATGCAGGGGAATGAAGTTTCGATACCTGGTCCGGGAACTAAGATCCCACATGCTACGGGGCAACTAAGCCCACGCGCCACTACTACTGAGCCACACGCCTCAACTAGAGAGTCTGTGTGCAACACACCCCAGAGCCTGTGCACCACAACTAGAGAGAGAGAGCCTTGCGCACCACAACTAGAGAGAGAAAACCCACACACCACAACTAGAGAGAAGCCTGCGCGCCGCAATGAAAGATCCTGCGTGCTGCAATGAAGATCCCACGTACCACAACTAACACCCGACACAGCCAAAAAATAAAAATAAATAAATAAAATAAATATTAAAAAAAAAAAAGTCCCACATTGAGGAGAAACTACTATGAGTAGGGATAGCAGAGGCAAAGAAAACAGGAGATCCAGAAAAAAGGTGGTGGGTGAGCAATGTAGAAAATCTCAGAAAGTTCAAGCCCATATTTTTAAAAAATCACATCATACAAACAACAGAGTTGAAAGCTGTTGGGGGAGGCCATCTGACCCAGGCCCTGAGAGTCCATGCACATTCTTGCTAGGTAGGCCAGAAGGCAATGTACTGACCACTCTTTACCTGGGCCATTTTCTCAGGGTTTTGTTTGCCGCAAGCAACCTTGAGGGGTGAAGTAATGTCTTCCCCACCTCCACCCCAAATTACAGTCTTGTTCCCAAATACTATAAAAGTGGGGACTCCCCCAAGCTCAGTGTTTCCCTCCTATAACATAGCCCACTGGGTATGAAGGCATCCATGGGGGTCCCTCTGCATCTCCCCCAAGGAACTTGGAGCCAGCACAAATGACGAGCATGCTGACACTTCAACTACTGCTTTTACCATTAGTAACAAAGTCCTTTGTCTTTGATATAGGAGTCTCATGTCTTCTGTCAACATCCATGAAACTGTGACATGCTAACTTGTTAACTTATAAATATGGTAAAATCCTAGACCCTGTGCAGTTCTTGACAGAATCTAGAAAATCTGTCCTGGGCTCCTTCTCCCTTGTAGGAGTACAGTACAACTCATTCCACTTAAAATATGAGCAAAGGAAAAGGATCACAATTGAATCTCATTCAAAGTGTTTTTCTTGTTTGTTTCGTTTTGTTTTTTAAATAGGAGAACCAGAGAAGAATAATATCAGTTTGGACAATGAAACCATATCAGAAAAACATACCCACAAAAGGAAAGAAAACTATAGCTATCATAATACTTCAGAATTAGCTAAAAGAAAATGATAAAAACTGTAAAGGGAAATGTAAATTACAATGTGAAAAACTCCGAAATAAAGTGACTGAAAAAAGATTTTAAAAGAGGAGTAAAAAACCCAGGAAACATCAGAAAGAAAAAGTCATCTCAAAAATGAAGACTAGAGTGAATAAATACAACAAATAATGTCTTAAAATGAGGAAAATGTGAGAAATAGAAAAGAATTGGAGGGACCTCCCTGGTGGTGCAGTGGTTAAGGCCAATGCAGGGGACACGGGTTAGAGTCCTGGTCCCAGAAGATCCCACATGCCGCAAAGCAACTAAGCCGGTGCACCACAACTACTGAGCCTGCTCTCTAGAGCCCACGAGCCACAACTACTGAGCCCGCACGTCACAACTACTGAGCCCGCACGTCACAACTACTGAAGCCCACGTGCCTAGAGCCCATGCTCCGCAACAAGAGAAGCCACCACAATAAAAAGCCTGCGCACCGCAACGAAGAGTGACCCTGGCTCGCTGCAACCAGAGAAAGCCTGCGTGCAGCAATGAAGACACAACGCAGCCAAAAATAAATAAATTTATTAAATAAATAAATAAGCAACAAGGATATACTGTATAGCACAGGGAAATATAGCCATTATTTTGTAATAACTTTAAATGGAGTAGAATCTATAAAAATATTGAATCATTACATTGTATACCTGAAATGAATATAATATTGTAAATTGACTACAATTTTAAAAATAATAAATTAGTAGTAATATAAGTAGTAAATAAGTAGTTCAAATATTATTTCTAACAAAATAATATTTAAATCATTTCATATCTCACTTAAATAAAAGAATGTTTAAAGTTAAAAGTTTCTTGAGTAATATCCTGTCCTCTGACACTATCACTTGAATACCCTAGTTTACAAAGAGCCTTTCCATATACGATTACACCAGTTCTTCCTACAGCCACCCAAGATGGGTACTATTCCCATTTTTAAAGAAAACTGAAGATTGGTCCTGAAAGCAAGTCCCACACACTGCCCATGAAACTGAGAAGAAACAGAATGGGGAGTAAATCCTTAGGAAGCAAGTTACGTTTTGAACGTTACAATTTGTGGATTGTGTTTCACAGGTTCTCAATAAATTGGAAGGGAAATGCTTTTAATCCATGTGTACTCATTTTGAAGTAATTATAAGTAAAATTAAAAACCATATTCATCTACTTACTCATCCAAGTCTTTGTTAAATACCTACTGTATGTACAATCCTGTGCAAGATATTAAGGACTAGAAAGATGAATTTTTAAGTTGTGCCAACTCTCAAGGAGTTTACAATCTAATGATAGTGACAAACAGTTTAACACAAACTTAGGAAAGGAGTTTATGAGTGAACATTTGCTCTTAATTGAGAAAAATCACCTCATTTTTTAATTTAAGGCATAAATTGCCAGTTGGAAAACACTGCTATTACATACAACTTTATTAGTTCATCGTTTTTAAAGGAGGTTTATTGTTTTTAGGAAAAGAGAACTCTTACCCAATCACATCTTTATGACTGGTTTGAATTTTTAAAACAAAAATTTGCTCAAAGAGCAAAATGATGGATTCATATAATCAAATTAACATCATGCACAGAAAGACAAGTGTGTCTGCAATAATGTGTAAAGAGTTGAGCACAACTGGGTCCCGTATTAAAGGGTCAAATGTGAATTATTCTGGAGACTTGCCTTGAAAAAGTTATTATACACAATTTCATCATATATAAAACAAGGGTGATATTTAATTCCAATTAAGGTTAAAACTCAGATGCTATAATTATTTCCACCTGTCTTAATACACAGGGTTAAAAAAACTAGTATAAAAGCTTTTCTAATAATTTATGTATCAAAAATAAATTGGAATAAAAGTAGGGATAAAAGAGAAAAAGTGATGATGGTGTGGCTAATTTAACAGTAACTCTCTCTTTGGCCTTGGAATTGCCACTTGGAGATTAATTTTTCTCCATTTTAAAATGGGCTTTGGGACTTCCCTGGCGGTCCAATGGTTAGGACTCTACCCTCCCAATGCAGGGGGCATGAGTTCAATCCCTGGTCGGGGAACTAAGATCCTGCATGCTGCACAGCGTGGCCTAAATAAATAAATAATAAAACGGACTTTGAAGCATGTGCCCTTCCTGGGTTCTGCATACCTTTCACAACTGGCTTCTGACTGGTGCAGCAGGTATGGTGTTGCTTTAAGGGTTGCAGACCAGGCTTAGAGTTTCTTTAGCAGTCCAGTCCCATCAAACTTTTAGAAGCCTTCAGGTGTATATTTATCCACACTCAATTGGATGTTAAACTTACCCAAATAACAACTTTTCTTCCTTTTCTTTTTTATTTTTATATTTGAAAATTCTTGACTTTTATTCGTTGGCCTCTATATTCTGACATCCTCCGTTATTTAGCTTAATGGCAGCTCCCTAAGGGCATACGAAACAACAGACTTGGATTTTTCAAAAAAAAAAAAACAGTAACTCTCAGTGCATAAATGAATGTAAATGTGCAAGTTATCTATTTTTTCCTGTTTTATTACTTTTTAAAAATGGCTCAGATAAGAAATTTAAAATACCTAGTAAAATAAGTTTGCAGAGAAAAAGGAGCAAGTAGTATAATTTAAAAATATTTATTCATTCATGCTTTCCAGAACTCTTTTTTCAAACCACAGGCCAATACTCCCCTCTGCTCTCAATGCTAAGCAATTTTTTCCACCCAAAATGATAAAATTATGTATATTTTTATACCTAATCAGTTTGTGACAGCTGTGATTCTCAAACACTTTTTAAAAATAGAAGTAAGATCAAAGTTGCAAACAGACCATATGTAGTAATTTTAAAAACTGAATAGGCAAAGCCTGACTCTAACTGACCAAATGACCCATCAGCTGGATTCGGCCTTTTCAGGCTACACGAGGGCTTTGCTCAAGAGACCTGCACGGGGCTTCCCTGGTGGCGCAGTGGTTGAGAGTCCGCCTGCCGATGCAGGGGACGAGGGTTCGTGCCCCCAGTCCGGGAAGATCCCACATGCTGCGGAGCGGCTGGGCCCGTGAGCCATGGCCGCTGAGCCTGCACGTCCGGAGCAAAAAGAGACCTGCACGTTATCAGACGGGTTTCCATGGATGTCCTTAACACCACAAGTGCGGCTTCTGACACCCAATGCTGCCAACAACATCAGGGGAACAGAGAGGAGACCCTGTCGACTGATTCAGTGTTATTCTTCAACACAATTCTCTTCTCCACTCTCTTCATCAGCTTTACCTGTTTCCTTGCAAGAATCTTGGCTGTTGGTATCAGTAAGATAATTTTCTTCCCCATTCTCTCTTTCTTCTATTTTTTCTTCATTAAAGCTAGAGGAAGAAATTTATCAATCTTTCAAAGGAAAAATGATTTGGTTTAAAGGTAAATAAACCCTCTGTAATGTACGCCATCCTGCAGTTAGTCTTCCTCAAGTGTATAAGCTCCGATTTATCAAGAGAAGTCTATAAAAGTACCAATTGGGAAAGTATTCTTCTGAGAAGTAATTTATTTCAAAACTTGATTGACTCAAACTTCATTTGAAAGCATGTTATTACTTTCATTATTTATGTCAGAAATTTCAATTATTTTACTTTAAAAACAAAATACTTCATCACCGTGTAATACTTTGAAGTGTCAAACATGTTAAAATGTCAGTATATTTTACAGTAGTTCACATGTATTCCATTAGGTAAAAGATCTTTTAAAATATCATAGAACAGAATTTTAGCTTTCCTGCAAGTAGGAATTTTTTCAAAGGTAAACCATTCAGACATCTTATATATGTTACCTTTCTTTATCTTCAGTGAAACTTTTCATCTCTTGATTGCTGAAGTACTCAAATATTTTTCCACTTTGGCCTTTCTTTGAAACAAACTCATCAGATATTCCTAGTGCTTTTAAGGTGTTAGAATAATGCTTTTCTGCTGCCATTCTTGCATTTTTCTATAGGAAAGACAAACCTTTTTAGATAAGAACAAAAGACTTTAAGTTTCCATTACAAATGTACAGGTTAAAAGCTCCAGTGAAAATTAAATTCAATAATCACAGTTGGTTGAAAAATATGCATACCCTCTGACCAGCAATTCCACTCCTAGGTATATGCCCAGAGAAACTCCTACATATCTGCCCAAGGAGACATACCAAAATGTTCAGAACAGTACTGTTTGTAACAACCCCAAACTGGAAACAACCTAAATATCTATCAGCAGTAGGATGGATAAATAAATTGTGACGTTTTCATATAACAGACTAAAATAAAGCAATGAAAATGAACTCTAGCTATATGCCACAACATGGACAGATGTCACAAGCAGCATACCACAGAAGAGTACACATAGTATGATTTATTTACATAAAGTCCAAAAACAGGCAAAACTAAACTATGTTGTTTAGGGATAGGTACAGCAGTGGTAAAACTGTAAAGAAAAACAAGGAAATGCTTATGTCAAAAGTTAGAAGGGTGGCTACCTCTAGGTGAGAGGGTTTTGATCTGGGAGGGGCACACAGGGTTTCTGGGGTACTGGCAATGCTCTAATGCTTTTAACCTGGGTAGTGGCCACATGAGTTTTGATCTATAATTATTCTTTACTCTATACTGTTGCATGACTGTTCAAGGATATCCGAAAAAAATCAGTAAGAAAATAAGTTCCTGTGATAGTTGTCAGAGAGTTCTTTATGTGCCTACTGTAAATTTTACTCTTTACAAGCCATATCTCTAATCCACCAAAGATGATAAAATCATCAATGTTGTTACCTTAATTCTGTAGAGGAAGCAAGGGATACAGCAAGAAGAACATGAATTTAGAACTGGGTTCAACTCTCCAGAATGTTACTTCCTGGCTTTGTGGGAGTTGTGATGACACTCTCATACCTAAAGCAAGTCAGTTGTCACAGTTCCTGAGGCCACAGGATTTACAGAGACTTAAGATGACTGGGGTTCTCATTAATGCCTTGGCTTTAGTCCAATTTTATCTCCTATGAGTGGACATGAACTAGTATAGGGCCAAAAATCGTCATCTGGACCTCAAACTAAAGGAAAGGCCCGAGGAATGGCCCAGCCCCCATGCACCAATGGCATCCCATCCTGGAAAGGGTGTGGAAGAGCACCCAGTCTCACCCCAAATTTAACAAATAAGTAAGATACTCCCTCCACTCTTGCTGAGGTTAAGCGGTTTGCTTAAGGTCACAGGATATAGTGAGAGGGAAAACCAAGTCTCTTAATCCTTTCCTGAGTCTTCTCCACTCCACCATGCTGCTTTCTAAGTGGAAGTGGTTATCCTGGAGTTTGAAGGTAGCCTAAAGCCTGACTTCAGCAAACCAGTGTCAGATATTTTCCTAACCCAGGGATTCCAGCATAAGGAAGGACCATGGAGTCTAGTGTCCCATGGGAGAAACCAAAATGGCAAAGACTGATCACAATGGATAAAACTATCACCAGTTCATTTCCTGACATGCTAGAAAACTGAAAAAAGAAGCACTCAAACTGCTGCTAAAATGCACCCACTGTGAATAATAATAATTTTCAGAAAAGTAAGTAAAAATGCAACCAGAGGCTATGAACACAAACAGACAAGACTTGGGGAACTGAAAGGCACAGCAAAGTGAGATGAGAACTATGCCCCAAAGACTGTAAAGCAGAATAAAGAAACCCCAAACGTAACCCAATATATTAAGAAAAATATATTCTAATTTTAAGCAAATGAAATATAAAAGATTTAAATGATACTAATCAATGTTAGTGCTTGTAAGCCTTCATCTGAATATGGCTTAAAATCCAATTTAACATCTATTCAGTTAATAAATCCTGTGATTTTCAAGAAACAGGAAAACATGGTTTGTTCTGTCCTGGATCACAGGCTTACTCTGCTAGGGGATAACTCAACAGCAGCAAGACCACAATTAACACTTATAAACGGGTAATGCATAAAGTTGTGAGTGAATTTATTAAATAACAGCTGTTAATTAGCAGCAAGAAAAAAAGTCACTGCAAGAAAAAAAGAAGTTCTAATTTATGTTAACAAAACCAAAACAATGGTGAGTCACCCTCAGTCACCCTGTATATAGAATTTATTACCTTTTAATATTTTATATCAAGGTGAATAGTGTGTAATTGTTCCTAATTGAAACAAACATTTCCCCCTTGAATTTCACAATGCAAAAGAATTGTAAAGACTATGAAATAAAAGTAGTTAAAATAACTGCATGGTTATTTTGTTTTTCTATCTAAGACTGCCAAAAGAACAAATTAACTTTGTTTCTTGAGGAAACCAAAATAATGAGTAATGATGAAAGTTTGTCTACAATCACTGCCCTAGTTTGAAGGGGAAAAAACACTTAATTTTTATGAGCCTAAGTTTAGTTTATAGTAATTCTTTCCTTTATTTAATAATAACTGAATACTTATTTTGTGACAAGCCCTCACGGGAGGTAGAGGCTATATGGGGAAAGAGAACAGCATATGTGTGGGCCAAGGGTGGTGGAAGAAATATCAGCTATGAAACTAACCTATGTTTTCAATATTTAACATTTCTTTATGGGTTTAATTTCACACACACCACTTATTTTACCACATTTTCTCTGGTGCTTAGAAAGAGTGGGAATTCACAGCATGGTAAAACTGCTTGTTAATACTGAGGCTAATCACTAGTATTGTCAGGGTAGTGCTCTCAGCGTGGACTAATCCCAGGAAGAAACAGTTCAGTTTGGGTTCAACAAATGTTTCTTAACATCCCCTTTGTGCCATACACTGTCTTAGGTGCTAAGTGCTAGGAATACAAAGATTTGACCAACACCTTTAAAAGTAACTAGCTGAAAGAGAAGAGAGCATTGAACAGATAATTTCCACACAACATGCAGGAGCAAAGACAGAGATGCACAAAAGAGTAATAAAAGAACACAGAGCAGGACTTCCCTGGTGGTGCAGTGGTTCAGAATCTGCCTGCCAATGCAGGGGACACAGGTTCAATCCCTGATCCAGGAAGATCCCACATGCCGCGGATCCACTAAGTCCGTGCGCCACAACTACTGAGCCCGCGAGCCACAACTACTGAAGCCCGCGCACCTAGAGCCCGCGCTCTGCAACGAGAAGCCACCGCAATGAGAAGCCTGTGCACCACAACAAAGAGCAGCCCTTGCTCGCCACAACTAGAGAAAGCCCGCGCACAGCAACAACGACCCAACGCAGCCAAAAATAAATAAACAAAAAGACTGAAACACTTTAAAAAAAAAAAAAGAGGGCTTCCCTGGTGGCGCAGTGGTTGAGTCCGCCTGCCGATGCAGGGTACACGGGTTCGTGCCCCAGTCCGGGAAGATCCCACATGCTGCAGAGCGGCTGGGCCCGTGAGCCATGGCCGCTGAGCCTGCGCGTCCGGAGCCTGTGCTCCGCAAGGGGAGAGGCCACAACAGTGAGAGGCCCGTGTACAGCCAAAAAAAAAAAAAGCCTGCAGTTGGGAGCTGGAGATAACTACTTTGAGGCGAAAGTCAATCACTTTATTCTGAGTAACACAGAACAGCTTAAGATAATTTTTTTCCCCTAAAGTTGAAACTGAGATATGAAAAAAAAACACCATCCCTTAAAATGAAAAGCATTACATAAAATTATATCCAACTCAGTCAGTAAAGTGTTCCCATAACTTTGAGACGCTGTAATATGTAGATTTAACCATAACACACGTCCTTTGTCCTCAGTGAGTCACTGACACGGGCAGTCCTATAAGGACACTCATCTGTCCCAGACACTTGCTGGGAGGAAGCTCCAAATGTAACAGCTTGAAATTCACAACACAGCAAGTGTAACCTCCAGTGATTTTGTCCATTGTTAAACCATGTCACCCATAGGAGCCCCTCCCTCATGGACACAAAGGGGAAGATCGTCTGAAATTGACAAATTACTCTTAAGGGAAAGACTGTAAAACTGAGTATAAATCTAGTAAAATCAGAATTCATTGTCCATAGGATTAAAGTATTTTTTCTGATAAAAAGGAAGTGCTTCTCAGAGACATAGGAAACAAACTTATGGTTACCAAATTGGGGGAGGAGGGATAAATTAGGAGGTGGGATTAACAGATACACACTACTTTATATAAAACAGATAAACAACAAGGTCCTACTGTATAGCACAGGGAACTATATTCAATATCTTGTAATAACCTATAATGGAAAAGAAACTGAAAAAGAATATACATATACACACACATATACAAATATAACTGAATCACTTTGCTATATACCAGAAACTAATACCACATTGTAAATCAACTATACTTCAATTTTTAAAAAAAGGAAGTCCTTTCGGCAATTGTAGATAAGACTAAAAATTATAGACTCACTTAAAAAAACTGATCAACAAAATGAAAAGGCAAAAAAAAAAAAATGAAAAGGCAACCTACTGAATAGGAAAAAATATTTGCAAATCATCTACCTGATAAGGGGTTACTATCCAAAATACATAAAGAACTCATATAAGTCATTAGCAAAAACCAAATAATCAAATTTTAAAATGGGCAAGAGATCTGAATAGACATTTTTCCAAAGAGGATATTCAAATAACCAACAGGTATGTGAAAAGGTGCTCAACATCACTAATCATTAGGAAAATGAAATCAAAACCACAAGGAGATATCACCTCATACCTGCTACAATGGCTAGTCTCAAAAAGACAAGACATAACAAATGCTGGTCAGGATGTAGAGAAAAGGGAACCCTTGTGTGCTGTTCGTGGGAAAGTAATTTGGTGCAGCCATTATGGAAAACAGTACAGAGGTTTCTCAAAAACTTAAAAATAGAACTATTACACAATCCAGCAATTCCACTCCCAGGTATTTATCTAAAGACAATGAAATCACTATGTCGATTCACTGAAGCACTATAGACAATAGTTAAGACGTTGCAACAACCCAAATGGCCACCAAAAGATGAATGGATAAAGAAAATGTGGTATATATATATATATATATATAATGTTATATATATATATATATATACACACACATACACACACACACACACACACACACACACACAATGGAATATTATTCGGCCATAAAAAAAAGGAAATCCTGCCATTTGTGACAATACAGATGGACCTTGAGGGCATTATGCTAAGGGAAGTAAGTCAGACAGAGAAGGACAAATACTATATGATCTGATTTATGCATGCAATCTAAATACACACACACACAACTCATAGAAAAGGAGATCAGATTTGTGGTTACTGGAAGAATTGGATGAAGGTGTCAAAAGGTACAAACTTCCAGTTATAAGATAAATAAGTACTGGGGGTGTGACGTACAGCATGGTGACTACAGCTAACACTGCTGTGTGGCATATTTGAAAGCTGCTAAGAGAGTAGGTCCTAAAAGTTCTCATCACGAGGAAAAAAAATTTTTTTGGTAACAATATGAGGTGATAGATGTTAACTAAACGTATTGTAGTAATCATTTCCTAATATACGTATGTCATTATGCTGTATATCTTAAACTTATACCTGCTATATGTCAATTTTATCCCAAGAAAACTGAAAAAAAAAACTGGCAGAAATAAATCTGATTCAATTAGGCATTTTGTTTCATTTTTTAATTTTTCAAAGACTTCCAAAACTCACCTTAATATTTAGCCAAGTTGGTACTAGCCATTAAAAACAGGTTGTGAAACTATTATTTTGAAAATGATTGGATTAGCAGCATGTTCTTTATCAAGCTTATGAGCTTCATCAAGATTCAATGCTCAGATTTAAGCAAAACTACTTACTTGACTGATGTGATGAAGCTGTCACAGAAATAATACTATCTCAGTAAATTATATAACACATAAGAAAAATGGACCATAAAAATTAGGAGACAGAGATGTTAAAAAAAAAAAGAAAAAAAGCTGACAATAGCTCTCAAATTCCAACAAACACAACCTGAGCAACTCTTTCAAATAGCAGCGGCCTGTTTTTTAATTTTTCTTCTCTTTCTTCTAGTTCTCGTCGGTATTCTCTCATCCTTTCTTTTTCACTCTTTCTAAAATCAAATAAAAGGAATGGAATTTTTAAAAGAAATAAGAATTTGCACATATAACATTTAGCGTAGATGACAAATCAGAAATTAAGTCATGAGCACAGTTTATCACAATTTCTTTCCCAGACTGGTAAATTTTTATGGAATGCAGGATAAAAGTTCTAGGTTCTGAGAGCACACATTTTACATGCCGGGAACAGTCTGGGTACTTTGAGGTTCCTGAAATCTTCAAAGCATAATGGATTCAAACTGGCCTGAGGAGATAAATGAATGTCCTCTTATCTCATTTATAAGTATTTATAAACCAAAAAAGTTTGGTCCAAATTTGGTATCTTCTCTTTAAGGAATTTCTTCTGAAAACAAGACCTTGCTCTTCTTTATTCCCCTAAATGATATCTCCTATAGGTTGATGGCACAGTTAAGTAAATGGGAGCAGGGCAGGGGAGAAATGGGGAGTATGGGAATACCACATAGAGAGGAACAGGAACCAAAATACATAAATTCACAGTAAGTATACTTACTATTTGAACCAGATCCTATAATAAATTAAATTATGCTACTTTCTCTATGTAAAATACACTAATTCTACCAAGATCATAAGACTTCATGGATTAGAAAAAATAATTATACCATAAAATGATAATTATGCTTAACTATACACAATTTAGCATTATGGAAAATACCGTTTACTTTCTAAGGATGACCAGAATATTTCTAACGAATATTTTGCTCAAGTTCATCAAATCAAGCTCCTTCTATCAATGAATTACATTGATACACATTATAAGGAATGTATACATAACATCTGTTACAAAGGAATATAATAATTATTATACATAATATAAATTTAAAAAGGAACACTCATAATTAAAAGCAAATATAGATTTGGGGGTACTTATAAATCAGATTAAAAATTAATAAATCATATTACTTACCCAGCTTTGAGGGAGATATTTTACTACTTAAACATGAACATTTTTATGTCGCAGCATAAAAATGTTCCTCTGGAACACTGATTTTCAAACTTTGTACTGCAGAATTGCAGCATGTAATACATACTACTAAACCCTAACACACGTGTTAACTGACACACCACATAACTGATGTTAACATCAATGTGTTAATTTGTGCTATCAGATTTCATGCAGACCTTAGAACAAAGCTCTCTGACATATCTGTTTATTGAAGAATATTCTGAGATTACATGGCAAGCTGTTAAAAAGAGCTTTATCTGTGTGAATCAAGATTTTTCTCAATATTGCACTGTGCAGTAAAAAATAATATAAAGAAAAAGTTTAGATGCTGATGTAAGATTACAACTGTGAACTATGGCCACAATATGTTTTTCTGTTCATCAACATGGCGTCATGGTCCTGGAGTCAGTATACATGTTGGTTCTCACCACGAAGTGAGTGAGTGAGTGTGAGAGAGAGAGAGAGAGAGAGAGAGAGAGAGAGAGAGAGAGTGTAAGTTAACTATAAGTAACTGATCGTAACTTGAATCCAGAAACTGAAATACTAATACTATTCTTAATTTGTTCATATATTGGGGGTCCACTGATTAAAAAAAAGTTTGAAAACCAATGATCTGGAGGGTCAGGATTCTCTCATGATACCTGAGAGATTTTACTCTGGATTTAGACATTTGAGCTAAACTCTGATGTGAGTCATAAGCCTTAGCCCGGGTTGTCAAGAGTTTCTGCAATTCTTTCATCCTTTGCTTCTGCTTAGTTAGGATCCGATTTCTCTCTTCTTCCAACATTTTCTTTTCCTCAAGTGATCTCCTGAGGGCAACAAACTAAGGCTTAATTCACTTTAAGCCAATGAGAATGTTGTTTAGCAAAGACCTAACATGGGATAATTCAAGGGTTGAAAAAAAGGGGCAACCTTCTGAGCAGAATCTGAGTTGTAATTAGAAAATCAATAGGGTGACTGTAACCTTTTCTATCCCCAAAGATTCATAAAATGGAAAATACATTCATTTCTTAGAAGAACACCCACTGGCAAAATGTTCTATATTATATAGTAAAATATGTTACCAGATAAAATAACATCATATTTTCAAATTCCCCAATACAAAATCAATGGAGCAACCATGAGTCAATCAGTGCTGTATCACTTATTTACCTTGTGGCTTGTTCTCTTCCCCTGGAGGACACCGTGGGCATGGGACGGTTGCAGCTACAAGGCACAGGTTTTGCATTTCTACTTCTTACTGGTGACCTGCGTCTTGGAGACAGATATGGCCAACGTGTTTCTTTTAAATTTTCTTCATCTGCTTCAATATCTGCCAAGATTTTCTCTCTTTCAGTGGATGCATGTGAGGCCGCATGAAGGTCAGATGGTTCACAGACTGTCATGGGTTTTGGACACTTCTGTTCTGAGTAATGTTTCTGATATCTCTCAGGAAGGTCTTCAGAATCAGCAGTCTGGCACCTAAACTTGTGTTTACACTTGGACTTTTCAGCCTGTTCAGGACACTTGGGCTTCCTTGTAGCATAACTTCTGCGAGCTGGACTACAAGGCAGAGGGGATGAATTCTGTAAAAAGTCTTGGGTTCTCTGCTGCGTCCTAATGTTTCTATAGAGCTCTTCTTCTGTTAAGTTGTCATTGATAGTTGAACCATAAGTAGATCGAGGTATCGGTCTGGCTTTAAATTGGTTTGTTTTCTTTTTAGACTTAAAAAAGTCTTTCAGCTGCTTTTCCTGAATTTGCTTCTGTTCCTCCCTTGCAATAAACTTAAATGGCTTTTGCGAGGCCAAAAGAGCTTCTTTGTTCTTCTCCTTCACAGACCTCCTCCGTTCTTCATTTTGCTTGACTATATCATGATAAAGGGGGAGAAAGACGAACGCAGGAACCGGGTTGGCTCGGAATTTTTTCTTACACTCTGATTCTTCTTCTTGTTTCTTGAGCAGTTTGCGTGCCATTTCAATATCTGATTTAGATTTCATGTTCTCTTCTTTTTTCTTCTGCTCTCTAATCATCATCTGAAAAGGCTCAGGTACTGTAATCTTTGGCACCCATTCTTTTGGCTTCTTCTTTTTTTTTTCAAGTGCTGGCAAGTCAGCATCTTTAAACTGAATATAATCTTCAACAGAGAAGTTTATCCACATGTTGTTGATGAGCTCCTTAGCATAGGTCATCATTCTGCTTTTCTCAGAATACTCTTTTTCTACGTTGGGCAACTCATCTTCAGAGGAAGACACAATCAAGGAGGAAGACTGACCTAAATCAGGCTCTGAAATTGATGTCGTTAATGAAACAGGATGATGGGAGCTCTTTTCTGATACAGACCTAAGTAAATGAGAATAATAATTAGGTTACTCTTTCAGCTGCATGTGACCAAATATAAAAATTAAGAACTACATAATTTCTAAGATCAAGGCAAAATCAGTTAGAAAATAGGAGCTGGATAGGGCTTGTGAAAATTATCAATTTTTTTTTTAGAACAGAGCTCGGGAGATGCCGATAAATGATCTAGTTTTACTCCCTCATTTTACAGGGCAGGAACCTAAGACAGCAGAGGCTCCTTGGGTCTAATCACTATTGAATTCTCCACACATTTTCCAGAGTCACCATCTTAAAACATACATCTGATCAAATCACTCTCCTTCCTGAAACTTTCCCATGATTTGTCATTGTTACAAAGTCTAGATTATAGGGACTTCCCTGGTGACGCAGTGGTTAAGAATCCACCTGCCATGGGGCTTCCCTGGTGGCGCAGTGGTTGAGAGTCCGCCTGCCGATGCAGGGGACGTGGGTTCGTGCCCTGGTCCGGGAAGATCCCACATGCCGTGGGGCGGCTGGGCCCGTGAGCCATGGCCTCTGAGCCTGCGTGTCTTAAGGAAACCCCAAAGAAGAAGTAAGCAACACATCCACTCTGGAAAGTATAGTTAAAGCAGTCTTTAAAAACATCACAAGGGGGCTTCCCTGGTGGCACAGTGGTTAAGAATCCGCCTGCCAATGCAAGGGACACGGGTTTGAGCCCTGGTCCGCGAAGATCCCATATACCACGGAGCAACTAAGCCCGTGCGCAACAACTACTGAAGCCCATGTGCCACAACTACTGAAGCCTGTGTGCCGCAACTACTGAGCCTGTGCTCTAGAGCCCACGAGTCACAACTACTGAGCCCACGTGCCACAACTACTGAAGCCCACACGCCCTAGAGCCCGTGCTCCACAACAAGGGAAGCCACTGCAATGAGAAGCCCGTGCACCACAACGAAGACTAGCCCCCGCTCTCTGCAACTAGAGAAAGCCTGTGCGTAGCAACGAAGACCCAATGCAGCCCCACCAAATTTTTTTTTAATTGAAAAAAGAAAAGTCTAGATTTTAAAGCCCTTCAAGACTAGCCCCTGCCTTCCTTTCCAGTTCCACCTCTTGCCTCTCCCTACCCCGTCACCATTCTTAAGTGAGATCCAATCACAGGGGGCTTCCCTGGTGGCGCAGTGGTTAAGAATCCACCTGCCAATGCACGGGACACGGGTTTGAGCCCTGGTCTGGGAAGACCCCACATGCCACGGAGCAACTAAGCCTGTGTGCCACAACACTGAGTTTGTGCTCTAGAGCTCGTGAGCCACAACTACTGAAGCCTGCACACCTAGAGACTGTGCTCCAAAACAAGAGAAGCCACTGCAATGAGAAGCCTGCACACCACAACAGAGTAGCCCCCACTCGCCGCAACTAGAGAAAGCCCGTGTGCAGCAACGAAGACCCAATGCAGCCATAAAAAAAAAAAAAAATCCAATCACAGGGGACTTCCCTGGTGGTTCAGTGGTTAAGAATCTGCCTTCCAATACAGGGGGTCGCGAGTTTGATCCCTGGTGGGGGAACTAAGACCCCACATGCCTCGGGGCAACTAAGCCTACGCACTGCAACTAGGGAACCCATGCACCGCAACTACTGAGCTCACGGGCTCTGGAGCCCTCGTGCCATACCTAGAGAAGCCCGCACACCTGCCACGAAGAAGAACCTGTGTGCCACAACAGAGACCCAGCACACGGAAAAAGAAAAAAAAGATCCAATCACGGGAAGTTCCTCACACACACACGGTGATTTCTCACGGTGCCATGCCTTGGCACACATGGTTCCTGCTGCCTAGAAGCCCACTCCTTGCTTCCTACAACTGCTTCAGCTATTTCTCCTTCAAGACTGAACTCAGATACGACACTCGATGTGCCTGTATCCCTCCACTGACACCTTGACATGATCAACTGCTCTTCCTCTCTCTCCATGACACTCTGTTACACCATGTTGTGTGTTTGGATCTCAGCTAGTCTTTGACCTCCTGAGGGCAGCTTGATTTTGACTCCTCGGTGCCCAAACAAGGTCTGGCACACAGGAGATGCACAATCAGAGCTGACCAACTCAAGTTTCAAAAGAACCAAGTTTATGGCAAAAATGACTATTTTGAAAACTTAGATCTATGTCTTAGCTCTGAACCTTATGTACTATATCTTTACTGAGCTCATATTAATCCACATATTATAAAAAAAAGGGCTTTTCAAGTTAAATTTTAATATTCATCATTTGAAAATGGCCCAGACTAAATATTCTGATACATGTCTAAGAATGGTGGGTCAGAGAGAAAAGAACAAAGGGCCACCAAATGACGCACAAGGCAAGAAGCCACCTAATAGGTTGATAAGCCATCAAACAATCTGAATAAAATCTGACCTCTGTATATCATTAAAAGCACAAAGGGATAATTGAAAGAAAATATTCTGAAATAATTTTGTTCTGCACTTTTAAGTATACATTTTACTTTACAGTCCACAAATAACATTATGTACAAACTTACCTGGAAGAGACACTAGCAGCATCTTCCATGGTGATCGCTGGCTGAATTTCCTTTAAATTTAATTTATTTTGGTACATTTTCTCTAACTTTGCCATAGTTTCCATGTGGGCTGCCTTCAGCTCTTCTAGTTTCCTGAAGTACTCTTCATTAGAGTGGTAAATATCAGAAAGGTCCACAAAATCCTCACAGCTTATACGTTTTTGTTCATTTACCCCAGAAATGTTGGTGTTAAAATCAGCCTGGTAGGAGGAAAAACCCTGTTATATGATGTCTAGAATTGAAAGACAAATTAAGTTGACACTGGTTCCCAATGCTGCTTTTTAAAAAGTCCACTTAAATAGGTTATATGTTACTTGTGGACTATGTACATATAACAGATTATAAGTTACTTGTGGCCTATGCACATTTTCTCCTAATGATATTTTATTAAGAACAAGAGAGAGAGACCAAGTTGCCAGAAAACAAATGTTTAATCCATTTGATAAAGGATGGTTAGATTCCCAGATCATGTACTAACCCATACACTATAGTAGGATCAAGCCAAATCACCCTTTATAAAGAGCCTCCTTCTGGAGGAGCTTCAAGATGGCGGAAGAGTAAGACGCGGAGATCACCTTCCTCTCCACAAATACATCAGAAATACATCTACATGTGGAACAGCTCCTACAGAACACCTACTGAACGCTGGCAGAAGACCTCAGACCTCCCAAAAGGCAAGAAACTCCCCATGTACCTGGGTAGGGCAAAAGAAAAAAGAAAAAACAGAGACGAATAGGGATGGGACCTGCACCAGTGGGAGGGAGCTGTGAAGGAGGAAAGTTGTCCACACACTAGGAAGGCCCTTCGCGGGCGGAGACTGCGGGTGGCGGAGGGGGAAGCTTCGGAGCCACGGGGGAGAGCGCAGCCACAGGGTTGCGGAGGACAAAGCGGAGAGAGTCCCGCACAGAGTGCCGACCAGCACTCCCCAGCCCGAGAGGCTTGTCTGCTCACCGGTGGGGCGGGCGGGGGCTGGGAGCTGAGGCTCGGGCTTCGGAGGTCGGATCCCAGGGAGAGGACTGGGGTTGGCGGCGTGAACACAGCCTGAAGGGGTTAGTGCACCACGGCTAGCCACGAGGGAGTCCGGGGAAAAGTCTGGACCTGCCGAAGAGGCAAGAGACGTTTTCTTCCCTCTTTGTTTCCTGGTGCGCTAGGAGAGGGGATTAAGAGCGCTGCTTAAAGGACCTCCAGAGACGGGCGCGAGCCGCGGCTAAAAGCGCGGACCCCAGAGATGGGCGGGAGACGCTAAGGCTGCTGCTGCCGCCACCAAAAAGCCTGTGTGCAAGCACAGGTTACTATCCACGCCTCCCCTTCTGGGAACCTGTGCAGCCCGCCACTGCCAGGGTCCCGTGATCCAGGGAGAACTTGACCGGGAGAACGCACGGCGTGCCTCGGGCTGGTGCAACGTCATGTCGGCCTCTGCCGCCGCAGGCTCGCTCCGCACTCCGTACCCCTCCCTCCCCCCGGCCTGAGTGAGCCAGAGCCCCCGAAGCAGCTGCTTCTTTAACCCTGTCCTGTCTGAGCGAAGAACAGACGCCCTCAGGTGACCTACACGCAGAGGCACGGCCAAATCCAAAGCTGAACCCCGGGAGCTGTGCGAACAAAGAAGAGAAAGGGAGATTTCTCCCAGCAGCCTCAGGAGCAGCGGATTAAATCTCCACAATCAACTTGATGTACCCTGCATCTGTGGAATACATGAATAGACAATGAATCATCCCAAACTGAGGAGGTAGACTTTGGGAGCAAAGATATATATATATATTTTTTAACCTTTTTCTCTTTTTGTGAGTATGTGTATGCTTCTGTGTGTGATTTTGTCTTTATAGCTTTACTTTTACCATTTGTCCTAGGGTTCCGTCTGTCCATTTTTTGTGTTTTTTAAAATTACTTTAAAAAAATTTTTTCTTAATAATTATTTTTTATTTTAATAACTTTATTTTATTTCATTTTATCTTCTTTTTCTCTTTCTTTCTATTTTTTCTCCCTTTTATTCTGAGCCGTATGGATAGAAGGCTCTTGGTGCTCCAGACAGGCATCAGGGCTGTGCCTCTGAGGTGGGAGAGCCAAGTTCAGGACACTGGTCAACAAGATACCTCCCAGTTCCACATAGTATCAAATGGCAAAAATCTCCCAGAGATCTTCATCTCAACACCAAGACCCAGCTTCACTCAACAACCAGCAAGCTACAGTGCTAGACACCCGATGCCAAACAACTAGCAAGACAGGAACACAACCCCATCCATTAGCAGAGAGGCTGCCTAAAATCAAAATAAGGCCACAGACACCCCCAAAAACACCACCAGATGTGGACCTGCCCACCAGACAGACAAGATCCAGCCTCATCCACCAGAACACAGGCACTAGTCTCCTCCACCAGAAAGCCTACACAACCCACTGAACCAACCTTAGCCACTGGGGACAGACACCAAAAACAACAGGAACTACGAACCTGCAGCCTGCGAGAAGGAGACCCCAAACACAGTAAGGTAAGCAAAATGAGAAGACAGAAAAATACACAGCAGATGAAGGAGCAAGGCAAAAACCCACCAGACCTACCAAATGAAGAGGAAATAGGCAGTCTACCTAAAAAAGAATTCAGAATAATGATAGTAAAGATGATCCAAAATCTTGGAAATAGAATAGAGAAATTACAAGATATGTTTAACAAGGACCTAGAAGAACTAAAGAGCAAACAAACAGTGATGAACAACACAATAAATGAAATTAAAAATTCTCTAGATGGGCTCAATAGCAGAATAACTGAGGCAGAAGAACAGATAAGTGACCTGGAAGATAAAATAGTGGAAATAACTACTGCAGAGAGGAATGAAGAAAAAAGAATGAAAATAATTGAAAACAGTCTTAGAGACCTCTGGGACAACATTAAATGCACCAATATTCGAATTATAGGGGTCTCAGAAGAAAAAGAGAAAAAGAAAGGGACTGAGAAAATATTTGAAGAGATTATAGTTGAAAATTTCCCTAATATGGGAAATGAAATAGTTAAGTCCAGGAAGCACAGAGAGTCCCATACAGGATAAACACGCCAAGACACATATTAATCAAACTATCAAAAATTAAATACAAAGGAAAAATATTAAAAGCAGCAAGGAAAAACAACAAATAACACACAAGGGAATCCCCATAAGGTTAAGAGCTGATCTTTCAGCAGAAACTCTGCAAGCCAGAAGGGAGTGGCAGGACATATATAAAGTGATGAAGGAGAAAAACCGACAACCAAGATATTTTTTTTTTTTGTGGTACACGGGTCTCTCACTGTTATGGCCTCTCCCGTTGCGGAGCACAGGCTCCGGACACGCAGGCTCAGCAGCCATGGCTCACAGGCCCAGCCGCTCCGCAGCATGTGGGATCCTCCTGGACCGGGGCACGAACCCATGTCCCCTGCATCAGCAGGTGGACTCCCAACCACTGCACCACCAGGGAAGCCCCCTCATTTAGATTTGATGGAGAAATTAAAACCTTTACAAACAAGCAAAAGCTAAGAGAATTCAGCACCACCAAACCAGATTTACAACAAATGCTAAAGGAACTTCTCTAGGAAGGAAACACAAGAGAAGGAAAACATCTACAATAACAAACCCAAACAATTAAGAAAATGGTAATAGGAACATACATATCGATAATTACCTTAAATGTAAATGGATTAAATTTTCCAACCAAAAGACATAGACTGGCTGAATGGATACAAAAAAAAGACCCATATATATGCTGTCTACAAGAGACCCACTTCAGACCTAGGGACACATACAGACTGAAAGTGAGGGGATGGAAAAAGATATTCCATGAAAATTGAAATCAAAAGAAACCTGGAGTGGCAATTCTCATATCAGACAAAATACACTTTAAAACAAAGACTATTACAAGAGACAAAGAAGGACACTACATAATGATGAAGGGATTGATCCAAGAAGAAGATATAACAATTTTAAATATTTATGCACCCAACATAGGAGCACCTCAATACATAAGGCAAATACTAACGGCCATAAAAGAGGAAATCAACAGTAAAACAATCATAGTAGGGGACTTTAACACCCCACTTTCACCAATGGACAGATCATCCAAAATGAAAATAAATAAGGAAACACAAGCTTTAAATGATACATTAAACAAGATGAACTTAATTGATATTTATAGGACATTCCATCCAAAAACAACAGAATACACATTCTTCTCAAGTGCTCATGGAACATTCTCCAGGATAGATCATATCTTGGGTCACAAATCAAGCCTTGGTAAATTTAAGAAAATTGAAATTATATCAAGTATCTTTTCCGACCACAACGCCATGAGATTAGATATCAATTATAGGAAAAGAGCAGTAAAAAATACAAACACATGGAGGCTAAACAATACACTACTTAGTAACGAAGTGATCACTGAAGAAATCAAAGAGGAAATTAAAAAATACCTAGAAACAAATGACAATGGAGATACAACGACCCAAAACCTATGGGATGCAGCAAAAGCAGTTCTAAGAGGGAAGTTTATAGCAATACAAGCCCACCTTAAGAAGCAGGAAACATCTCGAATAAACAACCTAACCTTGCACCTCAAGCAATTAGAGAAAGAAGAACAAAAAAACCCCAGAGTTAGCAGAAGGAAAGAAATCATAAAAATCAGATCAGAAATAAATGAAAAAGAAATGAAGGAAACAATAGCAAAGATCAATAAAACTAAAAGCTGGTTCTTTGAGAAGATAAACAAAATAGATAAACCATTAGCCAGACTCATCAAGAAAAAAAGGGAGAAGACTCAAATCAATAGAATCAGAAATGAAAAAGGAGAAGTAACAACTGACACTGCAGAAATACAAAAAATCATGAGGGATTACTACAAGCAACTCTATGCCAATAAAATGGACAATCTGGAAGAAATGGACAAATTCTTAGAAATGCACAAACTGCCAAGACTGAATCAGGAAGAAATAGAAAATATGAACAGACCAATCACAAACACTGAAATTGAAACTGTGATTAAAAATCTTCCAACAAACAAAAGCCCAGGACCAGATGGCTTCACAGGCGAATTCTATCAAACATTTAGAGAAGAGCTAACACCTATTCTTCTCAAACTCTTCCAAAATATAGCAGAGGGAGGAACACTCCCAAACTCATTCTACGAGGCCACCATCACCTTGATACCAAAACCAGACAAGGATGTCACAAAGAAAGAAAACTAC